AAGCCAGTTTCCCATGTGTTTCTCCTTTAAAGGAGAATCCATTTTTAAACTTTGTTTGTCACCCACTTTTGGGTCACTGCTGGCTTTAGTTAAGGACCCACTGTTCAGGGTTCCTTGCCTCTGCTGCAGCAGAGCTAGTCTACAGCAGCATTTCTCAACCCGTGGGTCGTGACCCAAAAGTGGGTGACAAACAAAGTTTAAAAATGGATTCTCCTTTAAAGGAGAAACACATGGGAAACTGGCTTTTTCCTTGCAGGCTGACAGAGTTCTAGTCTGAGGGGCTGCTTGGGGCCCAACACACTGCCCCCTCCCAGCGCCCCACACACGAGAGGCTGGGGCCTAGGGGTGGAAGGCAGCGGGATGAGAGTGAGGGGCCCTTGTTGGGGGTGCAGGTGGTAACCTGGAATATTAAGTGGACTTCGTAATTAGTGAAAAAGAGAAAAAGGGGGCAGTATGTATTTCTGTTAAACAGTAGAATGTGCATATTGTAGATTTGCAAGGAAGTCAGTTCTGCATCTCAAGAATAATCTGCTAATCTTGAAACAGTTGGGTAGATGGCAGGGCAGGGTGACACCTTAGAAATTAACTGGTTCAAAGAGGCCTAAACTTCCACAGATAACAGACTATTTCATCAGAAGCAGGTTGTATTGGAGGTGGTATATTCAGTGTCTTGTAACAGGAAGACCAAAGGTAGTAGCTGCTTTGTAACAAAAACTTCTCACTTCACTTATGCCAACCTTATCTGATAAAGAAAGTAGATACAGGCTACCTAGGAAACATAGAGGAGCAAGAGACCCAAATAAATCAGTATGAATTACAAAATTGTAGTGATTCTCCAAGTCAGAATCACTACACTTCCCTAGAACAGAGTGTTTGGGGGTCTAGGCAAGTAGAGTGCAGGACATCCTAGGAGCTGAAATTCACACCCCAAATCAGGATTAGGGTGAGGAGAGGAGGTAAGGAATCTTCTCACCACCTACTCCTTGTAAGAACCCCTTTAAAGTCTAGGAACAATGAGACTGTGCACATGGAACAGGCCAGCTCAAAAAGGTGTGCAATTGTACAATTCCATAATTATAGAAATGCAAGACTGGAAAAAGCCTCCAAGTTGTTTCATAACACATACATGCAAAACAGTTGAGGTCATTCTGAACCTTACCTTTAGCTTTGTTTGATTTTTAAGTACTTAATTGTAATGTTGCCTTACTGTGTTTTGTGCATTCAATTCTAGATTTATTTACAATGAACTCCTTTTTTGGAATAAGACTCCCACTACTTAACCTACTTAACAAATCCTCATTCCCATGTAATGTTGTGCATATAAAATTGATTTTAATTTCAAAAGCATTTTGATTCCTTGCATTTTTATCAGAGACATTTTATATATTTTTCACATCGTATAAATCAATAATGCATGGTCTGAGATCAAATACAAAGCTATGATCCTCCAGAGTGAGCAGATTTGCTTTTAAATTCTTAAAATGTAATATCAAGGGAGATAATCAGTAGAAGGGAGAGAGAGAGAGGAATAGTGAGAAGTCTTTTGTTTTAAAGGCTTTTTTGATCCCTGCCTTCATTTAAAAAATTCATTGTCCAGGTTGTGCATCTTGCATTCTTAAAAAAAACAGAAATCATTGGACATCTGGCTCCTGGATTCATAGGATTGTAGCAGGCTTACCTTTTCAGAGCTTGGGTTGAGTCCCAGGATCGAGGGTCTGCTGTTTGTTTGGTGGAGCCCACCCACCAACCTGGAGGCAGGACAAGGGAAGCAATGCCCTGCCCTTTTCCAAAGGGAGGGGGCAAGGAGCAGCTGGACCTAAATCAGAAGTACACCAGCCAGGTCTGGAGAACTTTGAGGGTGGAGCCCCTGAAGAGTATAAAAGGGCAGTGCACTCAGCATGCTGAGGAAAGACGATGAGGGACAGCAAAGACTGTTTATCGTGTTGTAACCTTAACTATCTTTTTCAATGTATTTAATTGTTATAAATGTTGTAAGTTATATGGTTTATGTGAATTGTGGGATATCATATAAAGTGTCATATGCTAAGCTTTATTGTAAATATTTCATGTTTTATCTTAAGTATTTATTATTGTAATAAATTGCATATAATTAAGCACTCAGGCTCAGCCTGGCTCTGTAGAGAGGAGAGGGAACTGTTCTAGTAGCTGGTCCCTCCATCAGCACCCTGCCTGACCCCCACCACTGTTATTGGAAGACAGGGCCCACACCACTGGGTGTATGTAAGCTACAGAATTCTGCCATGGCTCTGATCTCAGAGCTGGGGCCTGGCAATTGCCTGCTGCTGGGGTAGGGGACAATGTTCTAACCCCAGCTATGAGATTGGAGTGGGGGGCTGAGCAATCAGATGCAAGGCTGGTGGTGGCAGCATGGAGTCACTGCAGCCACTCCTTCTGGCTCCGCAGGGCCCCCCAAAGTGCAGGGCCCGAGGCAATCACCCTGATTCACATCCCCTGTGGACAGCCCTGTGTATGGGAGCAGAGCAAGGCAGGATTAGCCCTACCCTGAACTGTTTCCATTGGGAGCAAATTTGTTCCTGTTGGGGTACACATGTAGACATGCTCCTAGGGAAAGCTTACTATGAAGTATTTTACTTCTCAGTAAGGTTTCAATGCTTTAGTTGCATGTGTAGAACACCCAATGAGTCTTCTCTTCTCCAGACTAAATAAGCCCAGTTCCCTCAGCCTCTCCTCAGAAGTCATGTCCTCCAGCCCCCTACCCAATTTTGTTGCTCTCCTCTGGGCTCTCTCCAATTTGTCTACATCCGTTCTGTAGTGGGGGGCTCAAAAACGACACAGGACTCCAGATGTGCCCTCACCAGTGCTGAATAAAGAGGAAAAATCACTTCCCTTGATCTGCTGGTAGTGTTCCTACTAATGCAGCCCAGTATGCTATTAGCCTTCTTTGCAACAAGGACACACTGTTGGCTCATACTTACTGTCCACTGTAACCCCCAGGTCCTTTTCTTCAGAGCTATTGTTTAGCCAGTCAGTCCCCAGCTTATAGTGGTGCATGGGATTTTCCATCCTAAATCCAGGACTTTACACCTCTCCTTATTGAACCTCATGAGATATTTTTTTTTGGTCCAATCCTCCAATTTGTCACAGTCTCTCTGAATCCCAGCCCTATCCTTCTGCATATCTATTATTCTCCCTACCTTGGAGCCATCTGCAAACTTGCTGAGAGTGCACTCTGTCCCATCATCCAGTTAATTGATGAAAATACTGAACAAAACTGGCGCCAACTCCAGACCAACCCCAGGGGCACTGCACTTGATACTGGCTCCCAGCTAGACATCGACCCATTCATTACTACCTTCTGAACCTAATGAGCCAGCCAGTTTTCTATTCAATTTACAGGTGCAACATACCTCTTTGGAAAATCATTTTAAAGTGCATTATTGCCTGCCATTATGGGATAATATTGACATATTTGAAGTGTGAATATTTCCATTTGCATGACAATAGCTTATACCACTGTACAAACACACAGACAATCTCTTCCCCAAATTAGCTTACAGCCTAAATGAAAAAGGCAGTGAGACAACGGTGAAACAAATTCAAAGTAACTTGCCCAAGATCATAAGGCAAGCCAGTGGCAGACCCAGGAGCACATCCCACATTTCCTGTGGCTGAGCCCTGTACCTAAGTGTACCACATAACACAGTTAATGATTTTTTTTTCTGGGGAGAGGGATATGGGGAGAATGATATTTGCTGACTTGATCTACATCACGGGCAGGCAAAATACAGCCCATGGGCCAGATCCAGCATGCCAAGCACTTTCATCCGGCCCTCAGGCCCCCCCCCAAAATTGTGCCCCACTCAGCCCTTCGACCCATGAGGGTGGGAGTGAGGCACCCACGTGTACATGCAGCTCCAAAAAATACCCTATTGCCTGGCTCCCACCCTCGTGGGTGGAAGGACCTGGTCAGCCAGAGTGCAGCTTCTGTGCAGGGCTGCTGCTGCCACAGCCTCCAGGACCTGCTCACTTCCTCAGTCTCCTGCTGGCTCCAGGCAGCAGGTAGGGAAGCAGTGAGGGTGGGGCTACACCTGTGATGAAGCCCAGAGTGTGGGGCTAGGACTGGGGCTGGTGGCAGTGTGGAGTTCATGCCCAGGGGGACAGATGGTGGTGGCAGCACTAAGTTGGGGTGGGCAGCATGTGGGTGTAAGGGAGAGTGGGGAGTGTGAGGACCCCCCCCCCATATTCCCCATGCTGTGCAACCCCAGCAGGGAAAGCAGCCAGCTCCAACACTTGAAGCTTCTCTCCTGTGCTGTGCAGCCCTGATATGGAAGACAGCTGACTCCAGCACATGGGGCTTCTGTCCCTGCTCTGCTAGTGCTTGTGCTGTGCTGGTGATACAGGCAGCCATGGGGAGGCTGTGCCCCTCATTGCAATGTGTAGCACTGGCTGGAGCTGTGCCCCGACAGGTGCCTGCACCCCAATGGGTGCCTGCACCCTGCCAGGTGCCTGCATCCTGAACACCCCACCTGCTGTGCTGAGCTATGGGGGGATTGTGGGGGTGTCCCCACAACATCCCACCCTCTTTCACAGCCACACCCTGCACCCACAATCCCCCACATATATACACAACCCCCTAACATACCCTATGCCTCCCCTCACAAACCTGCCCACCCCCATCTTACCACACACCCACACCCATGCCCCCCCACACCACACATACCACACACACACATAACCCCCACACCATGCATCTCCCCCACACACCCCCAATATACAAAACTAAGAATTTATTTTCAAGTTATTATATAATCATCTCTACACACAGTATGCAAACACAAATCATGACAAAAATACTTTTTGTAGTAAAATTAAGATATGCTATAGTAGAAGTTTGACTTAGTGTATGATTTGTTTTTTTACTGGTTCTAAGATGGCAATCTTCCTCTCCATCACCCAAAGGAGTATGTCCTAGGGGCAAGGGGAAGGACTTCCAGTAGCAAAGGTCAGGAGTTAGGGTGTGGGACTTCTCTTTCCAAGATGTTGACAAGGGTGCAGGGAAACTGTCAATGGGCAGAACTACCCATGCAGGCTCACCAAAACTCATTAAGCGGCCCTCCACCCAAAATAATTGCCCTCCCCGATCTACATACTTGTGAATTCCTAAAAATGCCACTGCCAAAACAGAAAGCACTGCGCAGGAATTGTCTACGCTACTTCTGGTTCCTTTCTAGCTACTTAAGCCCTGTGGGTGTGTCTACATGTGCATTTGATCTGGGAGCAGTTTACTTGTGAGTAAACTACTCATGAGTAAATGCTCCTGGGCATACGTCTAAGTGTGCAAGGTCTCAAGAGAAGATTTGCTGCTCATGGCAGCAATCTGCTCCCACCCCCACTGGCCCTGCACCAGCCCCCTGCGCCAGCCAGAGAGAGTTCCAGGGTCCCTCTGGGTGCTAGTCCAGGGGCTGGCAGGGAGCACCAGGCCAGGAGACATCTGAGGCAAGAGGCTGGGAGCTGCCCCATCCCTACAGCTCTTTCCAAGTCCCATGCCTTGATTGCCCAATCAGGGCATGGGGCTGGGGCCTGCCCATGACTGGGACAGTTCCCAGCCCCCATTTTGCAATCACGGGGTGGGGGCTGGAGATCCTGTCCCCTGCCTCCATCTATTTCCTGGTGTGGGTTGGGGCCAGTGCTGGGAGATCTTTATCTCCCAGCCCAAGCTCCACAGCTGGGGCTTGGGCTGGGTCACAGATAAGGATCTGCTTAATGCACAAAAGACTAATTCTACTATACATTAGTGCAGTGGGCAAAACCCATGCTAATGCACTAATGAGCATTAGATTTAATCTAATATGCATTAAAGTCAGTAAAAAAATGTTCATATGCAATAATGTGCAGTAGCACTGATTACAGCTCATTAAGTTAGTACATGACAGGTGTGCTGTAATTATGGTGCATTAATGAACATGTAGACATACCCAATGTGTCCTGTTACATCCCTGTCCCAACCCCTGAAGGGAAGCAATTCATGCAACTTTGGACAACCTGGCTATGAGTCATGCAGCATCAGTACATATACACATACCAGTCTCATGCCTTGAGCTGTAATTTAACTTTGTATTTCCAGCATATTGTAGGGCTCAAGAAACAAACAAATGGAATCATGGAGCAGTGGCAGTCTCTTCAGGCTTACAGCTGTGATTAGCTTTCCATTTTGTCCCATCCCTGGCTTTGCCAAAACATAACTAGTCCACCCAAGATTTCTCTCTGCCAAATTTGTCATCTGAATTTGGCAGTAATCAGAGGCATGGTCAGTCAAAACTAACACTATGCACAAAAAGTAATCTTGGGTTTATAGCTTGTAAATCTTTTCTGAAGTTTCTTGCTTTATCAGCACAAAACTGGTTAGGCCTATTAATCTATATTTGGTGTATGTCTTTGCCTTTCCACTGAGAAGTACTGCTCTTAAGCTTTTTGATGTATTTTATCTTGTTTACATTTGAAAGAATGATTTTGGATGTACTTGCTAAACTGATACAGTGGGTGGCTTCGTACACACTAGTAACCTCTGTGGGAAGGAGGAATCACTTAAAAATGATCCCAGGGGGATCTCAAAGCAGCCTGAATTCTATTCTGTCTTATGCTAGTGGGTGAATTGATCCCCAAGGCCCCAAAGACTGGAGGACAAGGAAGATGAAATAATACAAGTTTGTCTGCTAGCTCAGTTTGTGGATATGGCCTACAATGTTCTGTGTTACACTGAAAGCCCCCCCAAAATTATGTGTATGCAATCTTTTGCAGTTTTAAGAAGAGTGAAAATGTTACTAGTCCCATTCTCTGTTCCAAATATGCATTTGAAGTTCAATAGATCTCAATTTACAATGCTGATTTCATACTGCAAGCGTGGAATTGGGCAAATGCTGTGCTTGTTGTTTTGTATTATTCAAAGAACAGTAAACAATTTCTCCTTGCCTAAACTGAACAAAAGAGAAGATGAGACTTGATAAGAACTAATGTTTAGAATGCTGATGGAGGAAGTATGTGTAGAATTACCTTGATCTGGCCACTCTGGAAACTGTTTTAAACATATAAGCATCGGTCACATTGTCAAATGAGGGGAGCAGGTTGACTATATCACCAGACACTCCAAGAAGAGTTGAAATCCCTTTAATTCCATAACAAAAACTATAATCCAAAGTACACTGGAGAAGGTTATCTACCAGGCAATTCCTTAAACTCCTTTTTTGATCCCAGGGGGCATGTCTATGCATGCAATTACTACACCTGAATAAACTCCAGAGCTTATTGCTCCAGGGTTTTTTGCTCCCAAGCCTGCTGTTTGAATGGGCACCCAGGCGCAATTAACTCCAGAGCAATTAGCCCTGGAGGTTATTCATGCACAGCACATGGACCCTGGTCAGAGAAGCCCTGGCTGGCAGGAGTCCCTGAGGGTCAGCCTGCTAGCTCAGGGCTGCTCCAACAAGGCTCCATGTGCTGTGGAGGGACTGGGTGGGGTGTGAAGGTGCTTCAGTGCAGGGCTAACCAGAAGGCAGCCCTTGCACTGAAGCACCCTTGTGCCCCAGTCAGCGGGGTCGGCATCTACACGTGCTGCTTCACACAAAAAACTCTGCAGCAGGGTAGTACTTGTAATTTGTGGAGTCTATTAATTTCCTGCATCCTAATAAGGGTGCATGTATAGATGCTGAGACATTTACTGCTGAGCTAATTAGTCAACTCCACAGTAAACATCTCATGCCCTGGTAGTACCAGATTGCTTTTTCACTATCGAAGGAGAACACTCTTTGTTACCAATTTTATGATATAAACAGACATTTACTATATTTACTATCATCTTATTCTGTAAGGCTCTGACTTCTGGAGTTTGGATAACTAGGCAAGAATCCCAAATTTGCTGCTTAAATAAACACATGCCAAAGTCCTCAGCATTTTAAAGACAACCTTAAATGGGAAACCAAAGAGGACAAAAACCTGAAGACAAATAAAATGAAGCCCACACTTATTTTTTTCAAGGCTCATGATTATTAGACCTTTCCCTTGATTCTGGTGGGGTTGGCAAAAGGCAGACATAAACCCAAGCCCTTCCTTTAATTTCTGTTAAATTTAAACTCCAGCAGAGACTGCTTTCCGAACATTTGCAAAGCTGAAGAAACCAGCAGTAATATGTTAAGATTCTTCTGTCTTATTCCATTTTCTTTTAAAAGTGTTTTAGCTCTTATTCATTACCACTTTATAATTTACTTCAGACTGCACAGTTTTACCAACATTCAAAGACCCTGAACTATGCTAGTGACAAATTTAGTAATTAATAATTACGCAACTGCATTTCCAAGTGGCTATTGTTTTTTTTAACCCTGTCCTTGATTTTATCAACAGTCTAATTTGTTTTTTGACTGATTTATCCCAATTAAATCATAAAGACCTCAGTCCAGTGAAGTGAGAGGAGTCCCAGTCATTCTGAACTGTCTACTCATGAACTTAAAATTAGGCAGTCCTTAAATATTTTGGTCAACCATTATAAAAAAGAAAGGGCAAGGAGATGAGAATACATAATGTGCTGAGGTATACAAAAGCTCGTTGAAAATTGGTTATGAGTATGACAAAACACTTTTTAAAATGTAGTGCTCTAAGTATTTCTTGTGATTATCTTTTTCTGAAAAGCCAAACCCTTTAAATACTATTTTGCTTGAGTCTTCAACTTGCACTAAACATTTTTTTAAAAATCAAGAATGTATTAATTCAACAAAAATCCTTACCTGGCTTTTTCATCTTTTTGTTTTGTGAAAAATAGAAAATGTTGACCAAGATAGTATGTTCAGAACATTTTCATTTTAATTAAAAAGCTTTTTTTACTGAAAAAATATTATGATGCAAAAATTAACCAGCTTAAAGCTGTTTATCATCTACCCTTACCTAAGCAACTGGCACCAAGACTACAAGCTGCAAATATGGCATAATGAACGTGAAGGATGAATCAATGCCATAACGGCAGCTGGAGAATACTAAAGCTCACAAAATAAAATAATGAGAGGGATTTCCTTGTATTCTGAATGCTGCAAAAAGGGAGAGAAAGCGATGTGCCTATAAAAATATAGTTTCTTTGCTGCTTCTGTAAGTGGCACTTTCTTCTCATCTTTCACACTATGAATGGAAAATAAAATAGGGCTTACTGAATTCAGCTGCTGGGTAGTATTTATTCATAGCTCCACCGGGGATAGTGTGACTGGCTGGTCTATGCTGCATTAATCATCTCTTCTGCTCTTCACTGGAAGGAATAAAAATTAGACATGAAGGGCCAGATTGTACCTATTAAGGCTAGTCATGTGCTGGGTATTATGGAGCTGTACTGGCCCAGGGGAGTTGGGAAGGATAGAACCTCCCTCCAGCTCCACCCAGAGCGGGTGCGTATGCTGCTCCACAAGTTAGGAGAACGTATCACACTCCTTTATACAACTAGCCAACTCTTTTAATTGTGTTGATATTTAGTCTAACAAGCTGTCAGTTGAGGTTATCTTGGGAAGATAAGAGAAGAGAAAGACTTCAGAGCATCATGGGCTTACAAGAGAAATGGCACTGCATAACACTGAGCGTGTCTACATGTGATGCCACCACTATATTGCCTTAGCAATGTGCTCCCTTGTTATAGCACTGTAGGGGTAATTACCATTCCCACCAGCATGGCGCAGTATGGGCTGTTATTAAATGACAGCACAGTAACAACAGTAGTCCACTGTAGTCGAACTAGCATATAAACCAGCAGTTCCCAACCTCAGGTTGCGACCCAAATGAGGGCTGTGGGGGCAATGCCAGCAGCACCACCACCACACACAAATGACAAGCTGCGCCTTATGCCAGGAACTCCCTGGGCAACTGCCCCCTTCCCCCCAGCCATCCTTCCTGTGCGGGGCTTGCCAGATGGGCATGGTCCTGGTGATCCGAGTCTGTCCCTGAAGGGAGCAATGTGGTGAAGCTGCCAGCGGTGTCCCAGCACAGAGGCATGGTGCCTGGTTGCCCAGGCAGTAGTCTGCTCCAGGGAGGAGCTGAAGCTGGTCACAGCTGGTGCCATCCCCAGCCTGTACTCCTCACTGGGACTACACATGAGTCAGCAGGGCAGTGGTTGGCCCCGGCTGCCTGAGCTGATAGACAAAGCCAGAGGCAGAGACGGCGCAGAAACCTGAGCCTGATGCCCCAAGGGGCCATTCCCCACAGACTGGTCACCACTGCTGAGCCCCAGCAGAGGCTCTGGCACCACTGGAAAATATTGCAAAGCTTTGTCCAGGGTCCTTGGGAGCCAGGATGCAGTCCAGCTGCTGCATAAATTGCATGGTCCTGCAGGCAGCCCTGGACCAGTGGCTGTGGTCCATGATGTAGACCCACTGGACCCACAGTTGCACCCAGGGGAAACTCATTAGGGGCATGCTTAGGGCTCAGACCATGTGCAATGGGGGCCCTGATCTGGGCCACCTCTCTGGAGAGGGCGATGGAGGAGAGGATGGGGATGTCAGCTGCTGCCAGGAGCCAGGTCTGGCCCAGCCTGGGTAGTGGATCAGGAAGGCTGGCTGCTGTGGTGAGCACCAAACAGGCTGCTTGCCCCTTTGGAAAGAGGGAGTACAGAAGGCTTGGCCAGCATCTGCCTGTGACAGGGTCCACCCAGTCAAATTACCATGGTCCTGAGTACCTGTGCATGCATGACCTCTGATCAGAGGCTGGGTGGAGCACACCCCTTGGTATAGAATCAGAATCATAGAAAGTCAGGGTTGGAAGGGACCTCAGGAGGTCATTTAGTTGAACCATCTGCTCAAAGAAAGACCATCCCCAACTAGATCATCCCAGCCAAACCTTTGTCCAGTCAAGTTTTGAAAGCCTCCAAGGATGGAGCTTCCACCACTTCTTTGGGTAACCTGTTCCAGCGTTTTACTACCCTCCTAGTAAGAAAATTTTTCCTAATATTTAACCTAAACTTCCCTTGCTGCAACTTGAGCCCATTGCTCCTTGTTCTATCATCTGCCACCACTGAGAACAGTCTATCTCCATCCTCTTTTGAATCCCCCTTCAGGTAGTTGAAGGCTGCTATTAAGTCCCCTCTCAGTCTTCTCTTCCCTAGACTAAACAAGCTCAGTTCCCTCATTTCTCATAAGTCATGTCCCCCAGTCCCCTATCTACTTTGGTTGCCCTCTGCTGGACTCTCTCCAATTTGTTCACATCCTTTCTTTAATGAGGGGCCCAAAACTGAACACAGTACTCCAGATGTGGCCTCACCAATGCTGAACAGAAGGGAATAATCACTCCCCTTTTCCTTAAATATGGACATTCTGTTTGCCCTTTTCCAATCATTTGGGACCTCTCCTGATCAACATGAGTTTTCAAAGATAATGGCCAATGGCTCTTCAATCACATCAGGCAAGTTCCTCAGTACCCTTGGGTGCATCCCATCCAGCCTCAGGGGCTTGTACATATCCGACTTTTCTAAGCAGTCCCTAACCTGTTCTTTTACCACTCCCAAAACTGTGCTGCCAAGTGCAGTAGTCTGGGAGGTGACCTTGCCTGTGAAGACTAAGATAAAGAAGGCATTGAGCACTTCAGCCTTTTCTGCACCCTGTCACAAGGTTGCCTCCCCGCATTTAGTAAGGAACCACACTTTCCCTGATTCCCCTCTTTCTACCAACATACTTGTAGAAACCCTTCTTGTTACCCTTCACATCCTTTACTAGCTGCAACTCCAGTTGTGCTTTGACCTCCCTGTCTTCATCCCTGCATGCCAGAGCAATGCTCTTATGTTCATCCCTAGGTATTTATCCAAGTTTACACCTCTTATAAGCTTTCTTTTTGAGATTTTGTTTACTGAAGAGTTCCCTGAACTTCTGGCCACAACAGGCAAAGAGCCATCCAACCTGTCAGGCGGGCTAGTGAGCTAAACTACAGCTGCAGCCTCTCCACCCAGCTCTGTGTGGCCCCGCAAAGTATGAGGCCTCGAGGAGTTGCCCTGATTCTATGTGGGTCTGGGGTTCATGGGCAATTGTGTAGGCCCCCTACTGTGAGGTAGGGGGAGGAGGTGATCTGCAATCTGCATGCAGACATGGTACCCTGTTC